CAAAAAATCTCATAATTGTTGTTGATTTACTATTGATCTTGTTTTTCTATAATATTGAATTATTTATCTATAATGTTCTTGAATTTGTGATTGTTAAAAGAAACCCGATAGTAAAGTTTTCGATACGTTCAAGTTAATATGGATAAACCCATTGGAAAACAACTCAATAACAATGGGAAGGTTAAAATGGTTTACGATGACAATCGGACTTCGAGTTCCGGAAGTGAAGACAATAATCAAAGTGTTTGTATTGGTAATGGATTAATATGTTATTGTATTTGTTTTAATCGAAATTATGTTGATTATGACGTTTTTGTATTTTTTTATAGTTCATATTGTGTTGGTAGTTTTTTCTTTAATTATTACTACGATCCCAATTCATATGTTCAAATTGAATGAGTTCATCGTCAACTTAATTTGTTATGCAATCCAATTCTGATAACCATTCAGCTCCATCAACTGCATGTGATGCTTGACCTGCCATAGACTGCAACTATTGTTCATATACGTTCAGTTGTGTTCATATATGTTCTAGCAGGGATATGAATCAAGGCATCTAATGAACTCTGTGTGTGTGTGTGTGTTCATACATGTTCATATGAATTTTTAATCGAAATTATGTTGATTATGACGTTTTTGTGTTTTTATAGTTCATATTGTGTTGGTAGTTTTTTTTTAGCCCAATTCATAAGTTTAAATAGAATAAGTTCATTGTCAACTTAATTTGTTATGCAATCCAATTCTGATAACCATTCGGCTCCATCAGTTGCTTGTAATGTTTGACCTTCTGGAACTGGTGTTCATGTACGTTCAGATGTGTTCATATACGTTCACGTATGTTCATATATGTTCTAGTAGGGACATGAATCAAAGCATCTAATATTGAATTTATAATTTTTGTTAATTTATTATTGATTTTTTTTATATAAATATTGATTTTTCTATCTATAATGTTTTTGAATTTGTGATTGGTAGAAGAGACTCGGTAGTAAAGTTTTCGGCATCGTTTAAGCTATTATGGATAAACCCATTTGTTCATAATGAATGAACTATTGTTCACAAGTGTTCATATGTACATTAGTTGCAAATCTCAACATTGGCTCGCTCTTGAATGTGTTCATAATGAAGGAACTATTGTTCACAAGCTGTTCATATGTACACTAGCTGCATATCTCAACATTGGCTCGCTCCTGAATGTGTTCA